GGGTGATAAGCCCCCCCCCCAGCAGACCAGGGAGATGGGGAGCAAAGCCGCGGAGCACGCATGCAGCGGGACAGCCGCGGTGCATCTGGGCTGTCCCGCTGCCCGCGTGCTCCGCGGCTTTGCTCAGCGTCTCCCTGGTCTGCTGGGGGGGGGCTTCCCCCCCCAGCAGACCAGGGAGACGCGGAGCAGCTTTTCTCACCCCGAAGAACACGGGCGGTGGGACCGCGGTGCATCTGGGCGTCCCCCCGCTCCCGTCCTCCGGGGCGAGAAAAGCCCCGTTCGTAACTGCGGATCTGACATAAGTTGGATCCGCGTAACTCAGGGACTGCCTGTAGTATATTTCTCAAAGGGCAGGACACAGTTTATTTCCCCATAAAACTGTTCCTATTATGTGCTTTAAAAAGAAAAAAATCTGGAGTGGTTTCTCTCTTTTGATGCAGAAAGATGTATTAAATGCTCTCTTCTGGTTGAAAAGTTTCAGAGTGGTAACCATGCTAGTCTGTAATAGAAAAAACTTAAAAAACAGTGACTAGTGCTGCAGCACCTTAGAGACTAACAAAAAATGTAGACGGTATCATAAGTTATCGTGGGCACAACCCACTTCTTCAGATGAATGGAGTTAAATAAATAGCAGAGAAAAAGAGGGGATGGGAAGGGAAAGAAAAGGGAAAAATGGGGAAAGAATAGCAAATTAGAGTTTGCATGCTAAATGAAGCTGATAGAGAGGGTTCTAAGTACTCTTAAGTACCTAGTGTTTAGCTTTTTATGTCATCAGGATGTGGAATATAGCGGGTAATCCAGTTAAGGTCTTTGTTTAAACATTTATTGTAGGTATCAAACTTATAAATGGAATTAAGCTCTGCAGCTTCCCTTTCAAACTGGTTTTTGAAATTGGCTTGTAATAATATGGAAACTTTGAGACCAATTAATGAGTGCCCAGGCAAGTTAAAATGTTCCCCAACAGGTTTCTCTTTGTTACCTTTTCAAATATCTGATTTGTGTCCATTAATCCTTTGTTGTCCAGTTTGGACAGAGCTGGCACTGGAGTTGATTGCAGGGGTGGATTCCTAGATGAAGATGATGGAGATGTGTTGTGTCGTTGCTGGAAAGAATTTGCTTGATGTTGAGAATTAGGGGGTTGTCTGTAGGTGAGGATTGGCCCATCTCCCAAGGCCTGTGAGAGTGAGGGGCTGTTTTCCAGGATAAGTTGTAGATGGTAGATAAAGCATTGGAAGGGTTTAAGTTGTGGGTTGTAGTTGATGACAAGTGGAGTTCTGTTGTTTTCTTTTTAGGGCCTATCTTGAAGAAGCTGATGTCTGGGTACAAACAGAATCTGATTTTTCACTTCTCTGGGTGGGTATTTTAGTTTTGAGAATGCTTGATATAGATCCTGTAGGTGTTTGTCTCTGACTGTGGGATTGGAGCAAATCCAGTTGTATCATAGGGCCTGGCTGTAAACAATTGACTGTGAAATGTATCTTGGATGGAAGCTAGAGGCATGTAAGTAAGTGTAATGGTTGGAAGGTTTCCACTATAAGGTGGTGGAAATGTGGCCATCCCTGGAACGCCCTTGGTTCTTTTTGGTGAGATACAAATAGATGTTTCTTCCACAAAATTGATTCTACACTTCAACTTTTCAGCTGTCTCTTGGAGGGACTCCTTCTTCAGTAATACGTACCCCAGAGGGTCTCATTTTTCTTTCAGGGTGGACCACACAGCTACACCTCCTCCAAGTCTGAGTCTCTGGGCACAGCAAGTCCAACAAATGAGACACACTTGTGGTTAAAAAAAAAAGTGTACATTCTTCAGAGACCAGTGTACCTGTACAAATATTTGCGGTGACAACAGGCAACATTTCTAAAACAATAGGATTTATTAGTTAACAGGAACACCACATCAGAATTCCTTAGGTTAGCACAGAGAAATAAACATTAAGACATAGTCCATTTTGCCAATTCAGAGCAATCCACGAGCCAAGCTGTAATATATTCCATTTCAAGCTCTGTTCTTCTCTGACCCATTTGCCAATCCCAGGTGAGAACAGCCGGAAAGCCCACTCTTATGTCTTGCCTGTCACCTTCAGTTCTTTAGTTGGAGCTCATCTCTACTCAGGAACCCTGCTGAGAGGTGAGAGGGAAAACCTCTTTTCTCTCAGTCATTGATTGTAGGTGGGCATGATCTGGTTATTGGGGCTTCCCATTGTCTCTTTAGGATTCTGCATTGATATGGTTCCAGAGAGTTGCTTAACAATCCATTCATTGCATCACAGCAAATCAACAGATTCTCTCCTGTTTCCTGTGCTGCACAGAGAGCAGATCTCTCCTTTCTCTCCCCCACCCCTCCACAGGATAGCATTGCAAAGTACAGGCAGTCCCCGGGTTACGTATAAGATAGGGACTGTAGGTTTGTTCTTAAGTTGAATTTGTATGTAAGTCGGAACTGGTACATATTGTAGGGGAAACTCTAGCCAAACATTTCTCCAGAGCTCAGTTTTATTCTCCCACACCTCACTTCCCTCAGTCCTTTATTCTCAAGCTGAGGTGTCTGCTGAGAAAAGCTGCTCCGCATCTCCCTGGTCTGCTGGGGGGGGGGCGCTAGCTTCACGTCTCCCTGGTCTGCTGGGGGAAAGCAGCTAGTGCGGGGTTGCCTCACCCCATTTGTAAGTAGGGATCCGATGTAAGTCAGATCCATGTAACCTGGGGACTGCCTGTATAGTGGGAAACTGAGGTGCACACGAGTCATTTAAAAAATCACCAAAAATCCCATTTTGTCAGAGGAGCTATATAACTTGAGAGGCTGCCGTGGATTCCTACTGTTCCTTATGTCTTATTCATTCTAAAGGAACTACCTTTTTGCCCATTTTTTTTAATTTACTCTGTGCTGAAATTCCCAGCAAAGGTGCATGTTTATGTTCTCTGTGGATACCTGCCTACAGGGAAATATTATGAAACTATCAACTCATTTCACAAAGATCACAGAACAGCACTTTTGGGTGCTGATAATTTTGGACTAATGTGGCTTTATTTAAGAAATGTAAAGAAATGAATGTGAAAATGAAATGCCAGAGTAATAGTAGAATAAAATTATTTTCCTTTTCTTTTCAGTTTGTTTGACATGGGAGGAGAATATTACTGCTATGCTTCTGACATTACCTGCACTTTTCCAGCAAATGGAAAGTTCACTTCTGACCAGAGGGCCATCTATGAAGCAGTACTTAAGTCATCTCGGGCTGTATTGAAGGCCATCAAGCCAGGTAAAAGATTAGTATATGTCAACAGAAATTGACAAGTTTAATGGGAGTAATTATTTTGAGACTCAAAGTATTGAAACAAGCAAGAAACTAATGAGCAGATCTTAGTTTAATAAAAATAAAACTGTATGGCAAGAGTCCTATTGGTAACTTTAAATGGCTGTAAGTGGAGCACAGAAATAATCATATATGTTTCTCATCTAGCCCAGTATTAGTAGGACATAACAGACTGAGAAATATCCATATCAGTAAATATTCACTTATCTCTTAATGCCTGTAATTGTAATTGTGAATAGTGTTCTTAAATTATATTTGAGTCAGTTTATCTAGCAAACTGTATTTTCATAGATGAAGCATATGCATGGAATAATCACAGGGGAAAAACTGCAGGGGAAATCTTTTTTTTGGGGGGAGGGGAGTTGTCATTCTGTTTTCATCCATAATTTCAAGTAAGTGCTTTTAGAGCTTACTGCTTTTAAAGCATCTGTTGTTGTGTGCTTGAATATTTTAATTATGAAAGTACTTGAACATTTCTAGGTATGTAATAGACATGGGTTAGTAGAGAATGTACTTAATACACAAAGTACATTTCTCCTTTAACATTACCGTACTAGCTTTCAGCGACCAGAAGCTTTTTGGTTCACCGGTTAGAATATGTCATTTCCCTCTTCTATAAGATGGTATCCGTGCTGCACATCCAGATAGGATTTTATTGTTCCATTCAGCTAAGATTATCTGGAGATAAAGCCTAGAGATTTGTTATTTTAATAATAAAGTATATGCTCCATCATCTAATTTTTCCCTCTCAGTCCTGGATTCATCAAGATTTCATACTTTTCTTTACATTTTATTGCGAGCTTTAATTGCTTCATGTATTATTTATTGTTAAAGTTAATTTCTAGTATGTTGCTTATTAGTTTGGGGAGTTGAAACCTAAAGTAATGTTATGCTTATTATAATAATATAGAAATTTTCTAAATTAACGCCCCATTTACTTGAGCAAGGCCAGAAAATTAAGTTATATTTCTGAAATTATTTCCCAGGTTCTCAGCTAACTTGTAAACTTGTCAAATATCCTTTCAGATGAATTATTTTAATATTGCTAATCAGATATTTGGCATCGGATCTTTCCTGTTCCTCCTGAAAACACTGTGTTGCTTTTAACTTCTTGATGTTTTCCTTTTTTCACTATTTTTAAATTTTAAAAATATCAAAAACATTATTTAAATTGTTACTGAAAGTTTTCGTTTGCCCAATCATACTTAAGGGAGAGAAGATGTGGGTGAATGGGAGACATGACTTTGTTTTTCAAGGACTTTTCACAAAAAATAATTTTTTTTTCAATATAAAAGGCCATTTTTACCAACGGAACTTCTGTTAAAATTGTTTTGACCAGTTCCAGTAAAAACTCTATGTTGACTACAGTTTGATCGAATAGTTTTGTAGAATCATAGCAAAGGAATGAAAATGTTCAGAAACCAGGGTGAGCTTTATACCATTTTGAAATGAACAGCAATGGTCTTCTCTCAGTCTAAAAAAGCAGTATAGTTCTACCTATTAGGAAACAAGAAGCAAAAAAACCTTATCAGTTCAAGGGGCTTTAAATATAGTCAGGCTCCAGCACATTTTGGTCAGCCTTTTTTTGCCTCCCAAAAGTCCTTTTTCATTCCACGTCTATCTCCATTTTCCATTGTTACTCTCTATGGGTATGTCTGAACTTGCACCCTAGTTCGAACTAGGGATGCAAATGCAGGCATTCGAAATTGCTAATGACGAGGGGATTTAAATACCCCACGCTTCATTAGCATGATCTCGCCAGCATGCTAGTTCGAATCACAACTATTTCAAACCAGGAAGTGTGCGCCGGGATGCATTAGTTTGAACCAAACCCCTTGGTTCGAACTAACGTTACTCCTCCCCTATGTCATGGGTTCCCAAACTAGGGGGGGCGTGAAGAAATTCCAGGGCAACCCATCCTCCCCTCCCCCATCAAGTTTTACTGCCCTGGTCAGTTCCTTTTTTTTTTTTCTCAACAAGCTTTGCTGTTGAGGGGGTTGGGGGGTTTTCAAAAATCAAAAAGGGGGCATGATGCCAAAAAGTTTGGGAACCACTGCCCTAGGTCTTTTGGCCAGTAGCCATTTTGTGCCGGCAGCCTTGAGGAACCAGGTAAGCATGGGGGCCAAGTGCTTGTAGGTTGCCAAGTGCCCGGCATTTTGTAGGTTGCCAAGTGCCCAGTTGCCAAGTGTTTGTAGGTTGCCAAGTCCCCGGCATTTTCGTCTCCTGGCCAGGGAAAAATTCAGAAAATACCAGACATCTCAGGTGTCCGGTATTCTCTGAATTTTTTTACCAGACAGGAGGCGAAAATACCAGACTGTGGCAGCCAGGTGCTGAGTGTTTGTAGGGTTGCCAGGTGCCCAGCATTTTCACATCCTGGCTGGGGAAAAATTCAGAAAATACCGGACAGTTTAGGTGTCCAGTATTCTCTGAATTTTTTACCAGACAGGAGCCAAGAATACCGGACTGTCTGAGTGAATACCAGACACCTGGCAACCCTACTGCCGGGGCATGAAAGACAAAGAACCTGATGGGATGGTGGCTAGGAGAAGCTCAGGTAAGTATTTCTCAACCAGAGCCTGCCTCTGGCATCCCAGCCACTCTCAGACCCCAATCCTCTGCCCTCCTACCTCTCATAACTCAAATCCTCTGCCCACCTTCTGCACCCATCCTCCCTCCCAGACTCTATATTCCAATCTCCTACCCCAGGTCACAACCCAAACCCCTGCATTTGCTCCTGCACCCCAGTCCTTTGCTCCAGGTCACAACCCACTCTTTTACCTAAGCTCCCTCGTATATCCCACACTCCCTCCTGCACTCCAATCCCTTACCCCAAGTTCCCTTCTGCACCCAGCCTCTGACCCTGACCCTGCATCTCCATGGTATATCCAGAATATCATGGTAAAGTGCGGCTATTGATCACTTACCAAATTCTTGGAGTGCCCCCTCATCAAAAATTATTGCCCACCTGAGATCTAGACCATCCCTGTCGGGTGTTTGTCTAATCTACTCTTAAAAATCTCCAGTGATGGAGATTCCACAACCTCCTTAGGCAATTTATTCCAGTGGTTAATCACCCTGATATTTAGGAAGTTTTGCCTAATGTCCAACCTAAATGTCTGTTGCTACAATTTAAACCCATTGCTTCTTGTCCTATCATTAGAGGTTAAGGAGAATATTTTTCTTCTTCTTCCTCCTTTTAACAACCTTTTAAATAAAATGAGGTATTCTAATTCACCCATCTTATTATTTTGACTTCTAGCATTTTAAGAGCTTGTCACTTTTTAGCTATCTGCTCTTACATCATGTGATTGAATGGGCCTTTTTTTCATTTGAATGTTTCTGATCCAATCCTACCTGTATTTTATCATCCATCTTCTCCTCCTTACTAGGACATAAAGAATCTCCATTAGTAGATCCTCCCCTTAAGTCTGTATGAACCACATGCTTTTCCGCACCTGCCAGCTTTCCCCCAGCCCCTAGTTTAAAAACTGTTGTACAGCCATTTTAAATGTTAAGTGCCAGCAGTCTGGGTCCATCCTTTCTGTGTAGGCTCCCCTTTTCTCCCCAAAGCTTCTCCAGTTCCTAATAAATCTTAACCCTGCTCCCTACACCATTGTTTCCTCCACATATAGATACCCTGCTGTTCTGAAAACATCTCAGAGAACGCTACCATGCATGTCCTGAACCCCACTCCCTACCCTGACTTCTCCACCCCACCTGTTAACCTGATCTCCCTGACACACCTCCTGGCCTCCACCCTGACTCCTGACCCACCTTCCTTATTTCTACACCCTCACCTCCTGCCCTGATCCTCCCCATCCAGCCCCCCTGCCCTGAGCCCTGCACACCTTCCAGCCTGCTGCCCTGATTCTTGCACCCCCACACCCTGCTCTGACCCTCGTATACCTAAACCCCTGCCCTGACTCCTGCACCCCTCACTCCCTGCCCTGAGCCTCCCACACCTAGCCCTCTGCTCTGACTCCTGCATCCCTAGCCTCCTTCCCTGAAGGACCCGAGCAACACTGGTAAATCTAGTAAGATTATGACAACAAATAGTATTGCTGTGCTATCCTTTCAGGTAACTTGTAAAGTTATTTACTTGGTCATTATAATGAGTATTTGGAAGATGTTAATAAATACGTATCTACAAGCTAACTTCCAATTCTTGAAAACATAGTATTGGTGACATTATATCTTTTAAATGTAACATTGCTTTAGATGCCAGGTTGATAGATGGAAACTTATTTTCTACATTCAAACTTAGGTCCTTGAAACTACTTGGGATTAATGTTCTCAGTAATAAACAATATACAGTTCACCTTCCATTGTTCTGTTGAGAGATGATCAATTCCAAGTGTTATTTTTAAAGTTATGGACCATTTCAAAAATGACTACTCTGTTTTGTTCAGTAGCTCTTTATTTCATTTTCCAGTTATATGCTTTATTATATGAAGCGAATTAAAAATCTCTATCACTAAGGTCCACTATTCTAAATTCCTCTTTCTCTAGTCAACAGTTCCCAGCAACAGCAAAGGCCAATTTGGCAGCCATTCAATTCCCTATCTCTACATTTATATGATTTAACAAGCTTGCATCTCAAATCCCCACTGAACTGAAATTGCAGTCAGACATTAGTTGGGCAGCTGGGCATACTTGTTGATTTATGTTGTTTGTTTCAATAAAATATGCAAAATTGTTCCAGATATGCACAAAAGTTGTTCACCAAGCTAGCATATATGAAATGTGAAAGCTATTGTCCTTAATGACCTTGCATTTATAGAGTTGCATATAGGAGTCCTGTAGCCACAGAACTTCTCAGAGTTGGCATTGGCATTTTGCGGTGTTGGTGTATCCCTGGAGCCCTATGTTCTCCTTTTCAAAAAATTAACCCCATGTCCCTGCTACATCCCCCAATGGAGCTGGCAAAATCCTCTCCTTGCAAGTTC